CGTCATATCAATTAATGTCAAAAAGTGACGAAAATCTCCAAAAATTTCAGAAATAAATTAAAATAATTGGGTGGGCGGTTAATTCTGCGGTGAGTGTACATAAAATTTTAAATAATTCAACTAATTTATCTAACCTGTACGGCCAGAGCCATTGCTGGTTACTTCGCAAAAAATATAGAAGAAATGAAAAAAATATAAAAACTATTTTATCTAACCTGTGCGAGAGCAATCAGTTAAATTTAAATGACTCCAGGCCGCACAGGTTAGGTAATAGGTTTTTTATTTTTCTTATTTTTGTATATATTTCTTTTTCGAAGCAACCTTCGACTACACAGGTTAGGTATATTAGTTGAGTTTTTTATAAAAAAAACTTAAGAATTTACCTAACCTGTCCGAGAGCAATCAGTAAAATTTAAATGGCATTATTCATATTTTTATATATTTTTTGCGAATTAACCCTCAACGGCTCCAGACCGCACAGGTGTTAGGTTAATTTGTTAAGTTGTTTATAAAAAACTTAATTAATTTACCTAATCTGTGCGAGAGCAATCAATAAAATTTAAGTAGCTCCTGACCGCAAAGGTTAGATACATTAATTAAGGTTTTTTTCTCATTTTTGTATAATTTTTTTGCGAGGCAAACCGCGAAGGCTCCACAGGTTGGGTAAATTGGTTAATTTTTTTTATAAAAAAAAACTTAATATAATTTACCTAAAATAGCCTATTGGGAGACAACTCGACCTTACTGAAAAACATATTTTGTGCGAATTAATCACAATTCTTTAATTTCAATGACGATAAATAATCGTTTAGCTCTGAGGCAGCTATCGTTTGAGATTATCGAAAAATTTATCATTAGTACCTACCAAATTTGACGATAGCCTCTATGTTTAGTTTCCCCGGTAAAAAGATTAGACGGACGTTTGCATTGTGTTGTTTGATTTTTTAAATTTTACTATTTTTAATGTTGTTTTCGATATATTGTCCTCTCGATCTAACGAATTTTAGATCTAGTGTCTTTTCGTTAAAATGTTATTCGATAAAATATATCTTCGATCAAATGTTATTCTATAAAATATATTTTCGATCAAATGTTTATTGGATAATATGTATTTTCGATCAAATTTCCAATTCGATCAAATATTTTTCGATCAATTTTGTGCCACCCATATAGACCATCCGTATTAATTGATATTAAAATGATTATCTCTTAACAATGGATTATCCATACCTCGAGGGTAAGGTTAAAGTTAAATTTTAGTTAGTTTTTAATTATCAATATTAGTTAACTTACAGTTATCATAATGTCAGGTTAACTACACCGGTCCTTAAACTAAACATTGGACTGTGAGTTCACGTCATTTTGACATATTGCATTATCATGCTCCATTAAAATTTAAGAGAGCACAAATGCTTGACGTACGAATGTGCAAGCCATCATACTAATTTTTGTTAGTTTTAACCCATATTTCAATGCCTGTTTTAAATTTCTATATACTGGATCATATTATTATTTTTCATATTTTTCTTTGTTAATAATAGTAATTTCGCCATTAATTTAGATTTTTTTTACAGGGTCTCACTCAGATTCAAGATTAATGTGTTCAGGTAAGAAATATATATCCTGCATTCTAAGTCAATTTTTAAAACATAAGTAGGGACATTCTGGGCATGAAATTACATCAATGTAGGTATCAATCCATTAAAATCATCAATACAGTACCCCTACCCCTTTGCTAAGCCAACCGTATTCATTATTATTGTTAATATCATCATTATTATACCTAAAATATTTAATTTGAACGCCCTACTTATTTGATTGCTCTAATTTAATATTCAAAATCTGTTATTTATATACAATTTTGAGACTCTCGATTCTCAAGACTTGGGATACTTGTCAGAAATATCCAAAAATATATTTAATAATTTAAGAGTTTACTAATTTGTACAAAAGTAATAATTAACAGTAATTTTAATTCCTATACTGCGCCTTTTACACAGTAAATTTGCAACAAACCATCATCCTTTCTGAAACTTTCATCATAAATATAGCAACAGCTCTTGTATACCTACCATGATTGGAATTGTTATATTTCTCTAGTCATAATAAACTTTTAAATTTAATAAACGACACCTTTCTTTTATAAATAAAATATATCAAAACCACAATTGGGACCAATATATTAAAATATATTTCATAAATCAATAAAAAGAAAAATTTTGAGAAACAATTTTGGTTTACAGTTCAATACCTATATAATAAATCATTTATTATCATAATAAAAAGCCATAGTTTGATCAGACTCTTGCTCTGATTTAGATCAAGATACTGTTAAGATGAGAACGCATTAAGTAATCGCGGTCTCGTCGCATCGCGGGCTGTGCTAGTCTCAAGCGCGCACAGTGAAGTTCTTTCCTATATTTTATAACGCATGCGTTTTCACTTGGTGTTCTCGCTCGCATCGCGTTCTTATATCTTTTCAGTAGAATCCGCGTGCGCTCGAGACTAGCCCAGACCGCGATGCGACGGGACCGCGATTGTCCAATGCATTCTCACCTTTAGTTCGCGAATTTAGCTATTGAATAGAAACTCAAGTGCTGCCATCTAAATTTAGACAACAATAGATATGTTGAATTCAGATAAAACTTGTATTTTTCAAATACACCTTCACACTCTGTAAAACAAAAATACGGGGTTTCTGTTGTTTTAAAATATTTGTAATCGTCCCCATATTTTATTAAATATTGACTGGCACCAAAAGATGGAACAGTGTTTCCGAAACATATGTAGTGCCTGTACTTAAATTTTATAAAAATAATAAAATCGATCGAATAAACCAGTGAACTTTTTATTTATATAAAAATACTTTATATGTTAATTGTAAAACATATTGTAATATTACTAAAATTATTATTAATAAAGCATTTTAATTTATAGCAAGTTTCTGGATTCTAAACTTTCAATTATTTCGCATTTCAAATAACGTATTCCTATTGGTACAAAAAAAACTGACAGGTACGTACATATCTACCGTAACCCGAAATTTTTGATCTTGACATTCATTGATATTTGTAATTTTGCAAATACAATTGCTTATTTCATGACTACGTCACAATAAAATAAACTTAAAGAGAATTTAACTAATCTCCGAATATTTTATGTACATCAAAAGTTTAATTTGGTTTCCAAAAATAAATATCAAACAGATGATGGTGTTAGTTTACATTAAATTGGTACCACCAATTAGAAATCTTGACAGATAGTTTTGTTGTGTCGTGAAATTATCAAAATTGTGGTTTCACGCAAATTCCATATACTATTAGGCATTACAACGACCTGTCAAATGATAGCTGCCAGTAGGAAGGGCTCGTAAATCTAACGGGATTGCGTCATAGCCTTCTATCTTGGGACACTTTTTATTTGAAATAGCAGCCTGCCAATTTTTAGAAAATGTATAAGCGATTTTTTTAAAAATAATATTTTCATTAGGTACGACAAAAAAATATTTAAATTTTATTCATTAAATATGATTGCACGTATTTTAGATAGACTACATCGTATGTCGCAACCCTTTAGACATACCAAACAGCACCGCGTTTCATTTGTTTGGAATCCTTAATTAGTATTAAGTTTGTAGTCACATACTTTGATTACTATACGGTGCAAGAGAGAGGTCCGACACGCCCAACATAGGGCGCGGCCATTTTGATTCCTATGCCACAGTTTATAGCTAAAGAATCAGATCGCTCACTCTGCGTCGGCACTTTTGATCTCAATGTTCCAGTTTATACACTGCGCAACTCGGATAATACAATATATGACAACCGCCTATAATAAAACAGCAGTCTTCTGCGTATTCTGAATTTGTATCCCTGGAGTGGATGTTATTTTGGAACTTTCAACTGGTCCGAGTGAGCTAACTGATTCTTTAGCAATAAACTGTGACTCCAAAAATAATATTCACTGACACTGACAGCAGCAAGCAAAATATCAGGTGCGTTTTAATCATCCGCTTCTGCTTCCGGAATTGTCGGTTTAGTCGTTTTAACCTGTCAGATTAAAACAAGAAAACCGACAATTCCGAAGCAGAAGCGGATGATTAAAACGCAACTATTAAAAATATTGCGCCAAGATGTAGGCAACACGTAATAAGGGTTCAAAATGGCGGAGTTTTCTATCTCCTTTTAACATTCTCCGTATAGTAAAAGAAAATCAAAGTATGTGTTTGTAGTTAAAGTAGACATTTCGATGTCAAATGTCAAAGGTGCAATCGGAGTGAAACTTAAGTGTACGTATAAAGTGCTTAAATGATTTTTATTTTGACTTAAATGGTGAATTTATTATGTAAATAATTTCGTAATTCATTTTAGAACTGTACAGTAAATTTATAGGTATTTAAAGCCGACGTCCGAATTTTTAACATTGTAGTACTTATTAAACTTAAGATCGGTTTCTTTTTTAAAACATTTTGGAAGGCATTTAATCCAACTTTAATTCAAAACTTTTTTTATGATTTGATAATTAATACATCACTCAGTTAAAAACCAACAGCAATAAAACAGATTTATAAATAAACACATCACAAATTGACATACGCAATAACGCTGTGGTAGATAATGAAAAAATAATGTAGTTAAAAATGAATTTACACCAGAAGGAATATAAAAACAACCAAAATCGGTAAGCGCTAAATGCGATGAATAATTATTTGTATATTTTCATGATCTGATTTACGAATTAGTTTATCACAATTAATTGTTATTTTACCGAAATGTATGCGTAATTATTTTATAGTTAGTAAACCGCTATTTTCCATAGGCGACACACATAACTATTTTATGGATTCAGATACCCACAAGAGACGTTGAATGAAAACACTAAATGTAATATTTTGTAAAAACTATCTCTATAGAAATTAGAAAAAAACGTAAGGGGCTAAATTGTTTCAAATAATCTAAAAACAAAAAACGAATAAAAACAATAAAATTAAATGTACTTACTTCTAAACCCTCTGGTATCCTCATGCACTCCAGGGGAGTCACTTTCATTGCCTTGACCCTGGCCCTCACCATCCTCGGACATCTGAGCGTCCAAGCTCTCTTCTTTAACAGCAGTTTGAGGCTGAGGGGACATAGAAGCACTAGCGGGGGAACACGAATCAGTTCTGGGACTGGGTCCCAAAAGCCTATCATCCGAAGGCGAAAAGATACCGTGATTATGACTAGGATGAAGAGAATCATTGTTGGTTTCGATTTTGAGACATTTGGGAGGAGCAAAGGCTGATGGAGAAGGAAAGGATTTTAGGTCGTTTAAAGGTCGGAAGGCTCCGGAACCTAGGGTGAGACCAGGATGGAGAAACTGGGGTTGTAAATGGTTTAGAATGTGGGCGGGGATGCCACTGTAGGCTTCCATGTGCCTTAGTCCAAAAGAGGAAGCTGTGAAAGGCCTATGGAGGTCTTTGGATGCTTCCGACATTGTAAACTGAAAATAAAAAAGTAAGGTTATAAATTCACAGAAAAAGCAATGTATAAACCAATTAAAACCTTCAGAGAGATACATGTGGGTGGGTTTGACAATTTTCTCTTACTCTTAAACCCAAACACAACCACAATTACAATCGTCGTCGATAGCAAACCTTGAATAGCGTATATAATTAAATCCTAGTTAATTCAACAACTTCATTAGAACAATTTCTTTAAAAAATATAATGAAACTCTGAATTGATTTTTAAAAAGTCATTAATACGAAAATAACCTTAAACTATTCTGTTAGAATATTGTATTAAAAGGGTTTAAAACATAATTTATTATTGAAACTTATTTTATTGTAAGGTATCGTATAAGGAATGTATTTAATTAAATTTATTTGATAATTTTGAAAATAATTTTTCAAAATAAATAAAAACGTCCCATGCACAATTAATATGTGTTTATTTGTAAATAAATTGATCTAAACAATCAATATATCCAATTATTTACAAGAGGAATACAAAAGACAAACATGGTAAAATAATACATGATCCCGCAACAACTGGTAAAATACATCAAGAACATTACAAAGAATGAAGAATATATAATTACATGCACCTGATAAAAACAAAGGAATAAGATAGAAACCCGAAAAAAAACCAGGAACACTAGGTATGTACAAATACAAGAAGAACAGAAGAAATAAAAATAAGTACTACAAACCATTAAAGCTACAGGAAAAGACTAAATAGGACAATTATTGTGGTCAACGAAATATATAAACAAATTTACCAGTTCTCAAAGGAATATACCATATACGCGGCGGAGTCGAATTGTCTCCCAAAATAAAAATATTACCTGACTCTCAAAAAGGTGACTGTAGAATTGTCTCCCGGATGATTTTAATACGTAATTAATACAGTATTGGGCAAATGTGCGAAACCAAGTCAATATCTCTGGAATTGTTAGGTATATCGAAATGAAAATTGGAAGGTAGGTATAACATTATATTGCCTGTTTGATTTTATTTTTTTAATACCCCCCATACCCAATCATCATTAATATTTCTATGCTTTCTCTTTTACTTAATTCGGCCATTTCAAGTTCAAATTCAAATACTACTTACTTATTTTGACATCTAATGACACTTCTACAATGATTTTCATGGACTAATAGATATCATTAGATTTTTCCTTACTTTAGTCACAGTTTATAGCTAAAGTATCAGTTCGCTCACTCTGCGTCGGTACTTTTGATCTCAATGTTCCAGTTTATACACTGCGCAACTCGGATTTGTATCCCTGGCGCATACAGAATCAAATCAATATATGACAACCGCCTACTATATTCCAACAGCAGTCTTCTGCGCATCCTGAATTTGTATCCCTGGAGTGGATATTATTTTGGAACATTCAACTGGTCCAAGTGAGCTAACTGATTCTTTAGCAATAAACTGTGCTTTAGTTATGTTTTTATTTAATCTCGGTTGGCATTGAAATAAAAAATATCGAACCCGATATTTTTGAATTCGTAATAAAATACTTTATTCGAAATTAAAATAATATACAGGGTGTTTCATTACAAAATTTAAAATCGATATTAGGTACTTCCGGTTAAACCGGAAGTTCAAAATTGTTAAAAAAATAGGCAATTTAATATAATACCTACCTTCCAATTTTCATTTCGATATCTGTAACAATTCCAGAGATATTTACTTGGTTCCACACATTTGCCCATCACTGTATAAGTACTTATAATACCTTAAAATCTAAACGTTGTTGCCAAATCGAACTTATATCTTGACGAAATATATGGAATGGTATTTCCTAATGTTGTTAAAATAAAACAGTAATTAGGAAATTATAATTGTTTTATTATATAATATAAAACAAAATACACTCTCTACAAATAAATAAACAATAAAAAAGTTCGTTACATATCTTTTATAATAACGAATATATTGTATTTCAAGACAATAATGTTTACAAAAATGATATAAAAACTTTTTTCACTGAACACATTTATAATATAAATTAAATTCTGCATTTAAAAGAAAAAATTTTTACAAATTGAAAATTGGTAATGTAAAATTTGTAATTTTTTAACATCATCGTCCAAAAACTTTTTTTTCATTAATACTTTTCTATCATATACTTTGACCACGGTATCAATACTTTGAAGCTTAATGTAGGTATCTATTTGAAAATCTAAAAGAACTTTTATAAACTGGTTAAAATTTGGGTGTGTATTATAAAATGAAGCATTATAACGCGAATGAAAAGTATAAAGTATAAAAATATAAGTAAGGTATTTAGTTATATCTGTTTCTAAATTATCTTTTGACTGATACTCGGTGGAAAGTCCTAAAGTTGGAATTTTTCTATACCAACTTTGACCTAGGTGAAATAGACATCCCTTAATTTCTGTTTATGGAAAAAATTCGCGAATTGCTTTGTGTATTGCTAATTTAGAATCTGAAGAATAGATAGGTATATCTATTTTAAAGACTGTAAAGCTAATTTATATGAAACTGTATTTTTATTTTTCAAAAGAAAGAAAACGAGAGGAATATAATGATTATTTATAAAACCATGAATAGTAAACAATTGTAAAAAAATTAGGACAATAATCGAAAGTGCCGTCAACATATAATTCACTTATTTCTTCTAGAGCACAAAGATTAGTTTTACATGAAAACATGACTATATTATTTATTTCATAATTTTTAAGAAGAAAATATTCGTCCCTATTAGTTTTTAATGTAACAGAATTTAATAAACTATGAAATTCAACTATATCAGTTGGAAGTTTTGATGCAATTTTAAACCTAGCAGTATACAAATTTTTTCTCATCCTTTTAACGTCATGAGTCGTAATAGTTTCACAGTGGGATTCTCTTACCTCCTTTCTAATCAAGCCCATTGGTTTTGCCGAAATATCGTCTATTGCTTTAATTGTTACAGCATTGCTTAGAGTCTGCCTATTTAGAAGTTCTTCTGATAATTTCCCATGGTTGTGGTTTCAACAAGATTCTATCACTTCAAGACGGTCCAATTTTGTTTTAACAAAAGCTTTGCACTGCGTTTTCCTGGACGCACAAAGCCATCTTTTTAAAGTGTCTTTTGCTAATACCTTGTGAAATGAAAATTTAAACCCATCGATCACTAACAAATCTTTGCCTTTTTCATTTTTAATTATTATAGCCTCCATTATACGTATAGTTTCACTGTACACACTTTTAATTATTATACAACTTCGGTTTAAACAAACTTTACAATCTCCGAAACTTGTGAAGAATATATGAAATATGGTTTACTATTTTTAATACATCCCTTTATAAGACGAAGGAGGGAAAGCAGGTACCTATTTCTGAATTTGAAAAATTTTGATGGATGAAATTAATATAATTTTAATGTAAATATAAATTACTTTTAAGATTAAAACTAGATTTAAATGCAATTGTCATAAGTATTTATTAATAAATATTTAAGGTGTAAATGCAGGTTATAGTTAGAAATAAATAAATGTAAGGATTATTTTCTTACTTTTCTATTTTAACGTAGTTAAATGGTTCATATATCCTGAGAGACGGTGTAATTTGTGAAAATTAATACCTTTTAATGTAAATTAGCTTGGGAGCCAACTCGACCTATGATGGGAGACAATTTGGTCCATAAAAAAACTACCTGCTCAAGACTGGAGACAACTCTACCTTGCCCCATATACGAAGGCTGTCCTCTTTTAGTTGAGCCTAGTTTTAAAGTAAAACATTTATACTTTTTTGTGAAAAAATTTGCTAAATAGGAAATGTGGGGCATCTATTTCGGATTTACCCTACCACTTGTTTAAGCTCAAATTAAAAATAATAAAGGAAAGGGAAAATCTCAAAGTTTTAACCACAATTACAACTTTGTTGTGGTTAAGAGATTTTACCTTTCCTTTAAGGATATACCACATTTGATCAGGGGGGGATATCGCGCATGGTGTCATGGCGGCGCTGACGTCATGCGTAGAGTTAGTAGAGCTGGCGAGAAATAAATATCATATGACAGACGCATGTTGCAGTAGTTTGTGAGTCGTTTATAGTGATTTATAAGATACTAAACAGATATTTGTATTATATTGTGTTGTAAACTTTGTTCTCTGTGAGTGGCTTTAATGAAAAACATTGAAAAATTGCGGTACGGATGTAACAGTAACAATTAAAGGAAAGGATTCAAGAAAGATATTATTTTTCGCTTTTCTCGACAGTAAGAGCTTAGTCAGAAGTAAGGAGTGGCCCAAGGGTGGCTCCAGCGGAGGCCCAGCAGAGCATGCCGTTCCCTAGATTAAAATTCTTAAAATCCATGAGCCTTTTATTAAAAAAAATATGTTAAATAGGCAATTCTACCATCCTTCCCAAGAAAATTCGGCATGGAGCAGCCCTTGCAGTGGCTTGTGACCCTGCAGATAAGTTTTCATATGTATTCCAAGCACTTTCAACCTTCCAATTATAAGAGAGATCTTAAATCAGAACTTCACATAATGTGAAGTTGTGAATGAACCAGTGTGAATCACATTGGTTAGTTCACAACTTGGGACTTCTAAACTGGAGACTCTACCCTTTGAACGCTAAAAGTTTCTCAATATAAGCAAAAATAAAATTGTAAATGTCACCAAAAAAAAAAATTTCGACTTGTACTTCATGAATGATTTAAAAACTGTCAGCGACTAGGTCCAGGAAAAATGCAGCGCCATTTTATTTTTGTTTTGTAACAGTTATTTGTATTTGGTACATTTTTTTATGTTTTGCATTATATGAATTTTTGCATTATATTATATGAAAAAAAATTTTTTTTAACTTATTTTTATTCAATTGGGTAAAATAATGAAGGTAAATGAGTTGCAAATCCTAATCAGGTAAAAATTTCCGGCATATCCAGATGTGAAATTGTTACCAGTTTTGAGTTGCAAAGATACCCTTTATTTTATTATTCTGGTTATAAAAACTATTCTTTAGAAGTCGGATTTGTATAAACAGAATAAATTATTAAAAAAAAGGAAAAAACTGTTCAAAAAAATATTTCTTTTATGTATGTATTTGCATTTATGTTCCTTCATAGTTCTTTCCTTAACTATCCCATAATAATATCCATAGATATTTCATGTAATTTCTAAAATATTATCCTTAATATTCATCAAATTTCTATAAGTTAGCATATATTTTCCTCACACTTCGTTAGTATTTTTAAATTCGCGCCTATACAAACTCTACGCGTGACGCCATGCGCGTGGCCGTCCTATTTTTGACACTGTTGATATCCTACCTTTTATTTTTTATACCATGACATTTGATATATGGATGCTTACTCTTAAAAGTAATAGCCTAAGTAGATGACACAATTAGTCAACTCACAAATAACTGATAAAAACAAGTTAGTTTATTTTTGACTTTTTGTTTTCATTTTCAAAACGGAAACTATACAAGTAGGTTATTACATGGGAGACAATATGGAGTGATCCACAAAACATTTACACATGTCGTATTGTACAATTCTTCTTATTATTAAGTGTCAGTTTAAATTTAATTCAAAGCTGTGCGTAGTTGGACATGACTCATATCTTTGTCTTTATCGGACATGACCTAATTAGAAACGTTTTTTATGAATCACTCTTTATAAGAAATCAAAACATTTATTCGAGAATAAACAGTGTTTGTACGATTACTCTAGTTTCATCAAATGTGTTCGTGAACCAATAAGAACAAAATAATGTTAAAACGAAACTATATTAAAATAAAAAGAAGAAAAATAAGTTATAGAATTGCGGTAAAATATAAAATTTAATTACCTTCAATTGGATTAAAAGTAAAAACTGAGTCTTTTCCTGCTGTGTTGATAGTTTGATTTATGTTTTTTTAAAAATCAAACTATCATGATTTATATTTTTTATAAAAAAATGTATATGTACAGGAAAGTGCTTAATATAAGTATACTCTCCATACAACATTTCAAACCATTTTATAGAAAAATTATAAATACCTACTAAATTATGTTTCAGAAAATAAAGTTATCGGCTATTTAATTTTTTTCGACAACTTATTATGAAAAATAACATATATCTACTAGGTAACAAACGATATTAATCGATTTTGTTATTTAAAATTGAGGGACTTTCTTGTACAAAATTAAAATACTTGCTAATATATTTTGTTAGAGAAAAATCATTCGTTTACCTGCGGATTAAAGGGCCTTTGAATCCTTAAAGCATCTTGCAATCCACCGGCGGCTTGTGAAAATACCACTAAGGCGGGTGAATTCAGATGAGCCGAGTTCGGAACATAAGCCGAATTTTCCATTACTGAAAAAAAAAAAGAGGAGAAACTAAGTATAAAGGTAAATGTAACACATCCCAAGTAACAATTTTAAGACACTTTAAATTTATTTAGGTTTTAAAAGTGCTTTAATATGTTCAGTAAAACGATATTGGTTTTAAAGCTACCTTAAGATAAACTTAAGGTTCTTTAAAAGTTCATTAAGACCTTCTTATGCAAAGAATGTAATGTCATTCTATAATAAAAAAAAACTATTTGCTCTTAATATCCTATCGATATTATACTGGTTTTATAATACTCTTTACATTGGCTATTTTAAAGGATTACATAGCAAGTTGGTTTTAAAACAATCCATTTTAAAACAAATAGTTTTAATATAGTTTTATGTACCCGTACCCTTGATGTATTTATTAAAACCCACTAAGAAAATTATTTTATCTTAAGCCTATATAGCCAATAAAATTCAATTCCACATTAAATCCAAAAACATAATGTTTACCTTTTAAATTTTTAGCTATCTTAACAAATTCAAGTAAGTGCCTTTATCATATATATGTTCTTTTTAATTTTCAATTATAACGTCGGATAAATCTGTATATGATTTTTAAGTCTGGTGTTGCTAATCATGTATTTCTCTTCTAAATCTGTGATCCCATAGATACCTTTATTAAACTAAGTAATTTAAAGTTCGTGTCATTCAGACAGATCACATTCTCGAGATCTGTCAAAATTTATCCAGCTCATAAAGTTTAATAAAATTTGTTGCAACCAGCTGTGAGAGTAAAATTGTGAGCAGTGAGGTCAAAACATTAATTATTTAAATAACTTTTTATTACATTTATTTAGTTTCGCTACTGTAACGCGAGCCATTTTTATCCACTATTTATTTACAGTATCCCCGTTCTGGCACCAATGTAACGTTTATTTATTTTAAACTGTTTATTTAATTTATTCACTTATTTATTTACAACTTAAAAATAATTTATTTCAAACATTTATTTTTTATGTCAGAACTATTAATGTATATAGAGAATTAACTATACACAACACAATCTTTCTATCAACTGACTGACTTTGCCACTGCTACACAGTACATTTATATAAAAAGTTGCAATTATAGTATCATCATCGAACATTCTACTATGTTCTAGACTGTTGATCGGCATTGTCCATAGGCATTTTATTTATTTACCACAGGCGTAACATTAAGTTGGGTTTGGATGGTTGCCTATTCAATCAAAAATTCTTGTTAATTGGACAAGTGGGGTCATAAAGACCCAAACAAGGTAAGGGTTTAGAGCATGTCCGGACTGATCGAAAATGGCTCGCATTACACTACTTTATACTCAGGGATAGATAGTTTTTTGGGAGATGCCAACAATTTATAAATCGATATTAGTTTATTGATTTTTATTTTGCTTTAAATAGTTAGATATGTATTATGATTTTGAATATTTTGCAATATCTAAAATGTTCTTGTATCGAAATAACGGAATACCCTGTATATTTCACAGTATTTTATAGTTATGCAAAAAACTATACCCTATATATTTTATTTAAAACATTTTCTTATAATTCTTATGATAAGAGAGGTATTGGACTTCCTCGCAATAATGGCCAACCTTATTCGGCCTACATAACTTTGGGATTATGGAATCATATGGTATTCTGTATATCATATTATTTTTAAACGGGTAAAAAATGTTAATTTACTAATAAGAAATCTTTTTTATGATATAGTTTTAAAACTTTCTATCATTTGTTCCTATCAGTTCACTTATTAGAAATATTTTTATATTACCGTGAAAATCGAAAATTTTTAAAAATAATTGAATTCAATGCAATATTGATTTTTTTATTATTATGAATATTATTATAAATAGAAAATAAAACTGATCTGATTTTTTAATAGGTAATAACAATAATTTTTATTTACTTATTATTGTAGTTTTACCTACATATAAATTGATTTGTTCATTCTACCTACAATATTAACGTTTTTACTATCAAAAAGATTCTGAAAGTCCATTATTTAAAATAATTTTTTTGGAAACATTGTTTTTATACATAGCGTTTTCTAAAGAGTGCCTTTTGATATAATTTAATCAAAAATAATACATGATTCAGATGCCTCTACCCAGACTTACTTTTTCCTTAATTTGTCTTTCTGTCGGTCGATAAGAAACAACTAAAATTGTTAGTGCTGTTTTAATATTTATAAAAAAAAATAAGCTGACTTAAATATAAATGACAGTAAATTAAAATGAGTTTATTAAAAAAAATGGGTTTTCAAGAACTTAAATCGCAAATACATACCTGTTATATCGTGTATAAATTAGTAATGTCAAAACTACGCGTAACGATTCCACAACCGTAACCTTATCTTGTTCCGTATTTTGTTACATCCCGCAGAACATCCCGAATAAAACTGATCCAAAGTGTTGCCCCACCACCATCCGTGGAGCCCACGTTGGCTCCCACCCCTGACGCGCGCACCACGTGCACATTTGGATCAAAGAACGCCTTTATTTTGTGGTAGATGTGGCCGTGGGAGTATCTAATACCTACGAACCTTGTAATTAAATTTAGCTTTATTTTAACTGGTTGTTACTTTTTCTTTTTTTTTTTACAGAATGAATAGGTGTCTACATATTGGGTGGAAAAACGTATTAGTTTAAAATTGTTGTTATAATTGGATTTACTCCAGAAGAAATGAGCTATTTCAAATAAAAAAATTTGTTTTAATGAAGAATACACATTTTTCTTAATTAACTGTAGGTCAATGAACTCGATACAATAGCATTTAAAAAAATTTCGAGATCATTAACTACCCCTCATTTGTCCAGTATCATTCATGAATTTGTTTTTATCCACCCTCGACTTTCATAATAAAATGAAAAGAATTTCCCAAATCAACATACAGAGAAAATTGAAAATTACTGTCAGACAAATCGAGACAAATAAACACGTATCTATATAAACTGGTACTAAAATAATCGTCATCCCATGTTTTAGACTTAAAAAAAGGAGAATTTACAGAATAAATTCCTTGGTGGCTCACAATTATTATTTTAGCACCATATTGATCAGTGCCGGATTTACTATAAAAGGGCCCCTAGCCAGGGCCGCCGAGAGCCAGGCCGGGCCCCAGGACAATTCTCTCGATCGGGCCCCGTAACAAAAAAAAAATCTTGAAACAAAAACTTTTCCTCTTCTACTTAAATAATTGAATTTTCTATAAAAAAAAGCCATCAACAAACTTTTTTTCTATCTTGAATAACTTTTTCTAAAAAAAAAGGTCCTCAACCCAAAAAAAAGTCCTCAAGCGCTAAAACTTTTCCTCTACTTGCATTAATTAAACTTAACTTAACTTCCCTCTCTTGTCTTCTGTCAAATTTCTCATGCAGAACAAAGAAAAACCTGTTCTCTGGCCCCCCCTTATAGCGCTGCCGGGCCCCCATTTGAGCCCGGGCCCCGGGAATTAGTCCCGGCTACCCCCCCCCCCCCCCTCTAGTCGGCCCTGCCCCTCCCCTAGCCACTTTTTTCCAAGCGGCACTGTGAGCCAGATTCGCCTCAAAATATTGAAAAAATACTGATTGGTTATTTAGAGGGAAAAAAATACTAATACGGTGTTTATTTAGAATACACAATCTGACAATGCTGTTTTTGTGTTTATATATAGGGTGAGTTAAAAAATGTAGGCTCTTCTTAAGGGTGACCATATTTTCTAATTGTGAATCCATTTCTCCTCCTATTTTGTTTTAGCTTGCTACTTACTACAAAAAAAAATGTGATGTGTCCAACACATGACTTTCCTATCTAGTTATTATAGGCTTTTTCCGATTATTTTGTACAACCTATTGCAGCACCTCTATAAATGTTTAGAAGATAAACTAAATATATACATTTTCCACATACATCCAACTCGAAACATTTTTCTATAGATATTCATTGAAAACGAAAATACTGAAAAATTTAAATTTAGCACTTTTCCTTCAATACGGTCCATTTTAGAAAAATCACATAAAAAACAAAAATTATAGAGATCGATATCACAAATAACTTTTATTTAAACAATTTTCCTAAAAATTTGAATTTTATTACATTTTGTCAAATTTCTCGAATACGGACCATTTTAAAAAAAAATTGTATAGAACCAAAATTATAGATAATACTATTGTAAGTAATTTTTATCTGAACAATTTTCTTCTCCAAACATAAATACCAGATATATTTCATAAAATATAAAAACGGCCTCCCATAAAGTACCCCCCAAATGTTCCGTCTTTGTCCAAAATCTAATAATTTCACCTCAGGCCGAAATAAAACTTAAGTTTAAAATTTAATGTTTTTTCCTTTATCCGTTTTTGAGTTTTCATCGAAATTCGAAATTTACACATTTTCTCAAATATCTCGAATACATTTTAGAGAAATTATGTATGGAACAAAAATTATAGAGAATTATATTACAAACAACTTTTATCTGAACAGTTTTTATAAAACAATATTTTTTTTACTTTTTGTCAAATTTCTCAAATACGGACCATTTTAGAAAAATTTTGTATAGAACAAAAATTATAGATAATAATATTATAAGTAACTTTTATTTGAAGAATTTTCTTTTCTCTAAACGTAAATAACGAATATATTTCATAAAATATAAAAATGACCTCCAATAAAGTACCCCCCAAATGTTCCGACTCTGCCCAAAATCTAATCAGTTTACCGCAGGCAGGAATAAAGCTTAAGTTTAAAATTTGGTGTTTTTCAAAAAGAGGTAAAAGGTCCAAGGAAATTAAATATATGTACCCCAAACTGGAGCTCTGCTAATCTCTTAAAATATCACTATCAAAAAGTGGATAAATTGTTTAATATAAACAATATTTAAAACCCATCAGCTCAAATTTAATTATAATTTTCAAACTTAAATCTAACTAAATAAAAGCCTTATGTTTAAAAGGTCTAAACTTGCCTCCAAATAGTTCAGCCATGTTTAATGTCAAATACAAAATTGAAATTAAGTT